TCGTTTAACATGGTTATCCATTAGAGACTAATTATGTAATAATTGATGGACTTTCCGAAATAGTTACAGAAAATGATATTAAAAAGGCTAATTAAGAGAAATATCCAATGATTTAGAATGCTAAAATTACGAAACATAAGACAAACTAGAGCTAAATACTTTGTCATATGATTCTTGACTTTAAAGATGATTCATTGGCAGCAGATGAATTTGGAGTTTAAATAACAAGTCATGGATTATTTTTGGATTAATTGAATACTTAAGGCTCTCACATATTTGTTAGAAGGTAGATTCATCCTTATTACAGAAGTTTGTTCTAAGTGAGCCGCAATATTGATGCAAAATATCCTCAACAGCCCAGATCTTAAGATAACTATTACTAGTAGAGAAGTAACAATTATTAAAACGACAGATAGTTTAATGATAACAATTTCAACCGAGAGAATGGAAGAGGAAGAGGAAACAAATACCCCAACAATTATGACAGAAATATGCATTAAAATGCTCATCCAGGATATGGTTAATATAATCAAGAAGATTAAGAAGATAACTAAGGTGGCTATCAGATGAGAGGAAGAGGCTAAGGTAGAGGTGGATATGTCAATCAGAGAGATGGTGGAAATTAAAGGAACGATGATAATCAGTATGAACACAGACCTAGAGGATGGAGAGGTGGAAGAGCTAGTTAAGAATCTGACAGATATCGCCCTAGGTCTAGAAAATCAAGTATTACAAACGATATTTAGTAAGAAAGAATTTATGGTAGATAGGACAATAATGAATAAAAACCAGAAGTTTAGAGTAATCAATTATTCAATAACGAGGAAGAAGCGAAATCACAATAAATATAATAACCTGCCAGTAATAACATTAATGAAGAAGATTCTGCATAGGTTTAGTAAAGGCCAAAGCAATATGCAAGAGGCCAAAGAAGATAAATTTCAGAAGATGATTAAGAGCCAAAAAACTATAGAGGAAATAGAGGAGGTTATAATCAGGATGAGAGACATTAAAATAGATAATCCGAAGATAGATTGAATGAAAATGGAAATGAGAATCGTCCTTAAAGTAGAGGTGCTTATGCTAGAGGGTAAAGAGGAGGTGCTTATGCTAGAGGGTAAAGAGGAGGTGCATATGCTAGAGGCGAAAGAGGAGGTGGAAATGCTAGAGGGGAAAGAAGAGGTACATATGATAGAGGATAAAGAGGAAATGGAAGAGGTAGAGGAAGAGATGAATATCAAAATAATAACTATGAAGACAAAAATCGCAATTATGAAAAACAGGAAGTAGAACAAAATGAAATGAATGATGAGGGTCAAGGTTTTAATTAAAATTAGAATGAATTTTGAAATGAAAGGGAAACTGAGTAAAGAAAATATGAATAAGATGGTAAAAGAATCAGAAGTAGAAGTAGAGGTATTGAATAATCTACTGCAACAGGAGATAATGGAAGAGCTAGAAAATTTGGAAGAGAAACTAAATGAATATAATCAAAGATTGATATTTTATATACCATTCAGTTTTATTTAATAGCATTTTGTGGTTTTGGGGTTTTGGGGTTTTGGGGT